TATCTGGCTAATGCTATTTAATGCTATTTATGCGCTGCTTCATATCCTTTTAACTGTGGCCTGTTTGCTCGCTTGGATTGCTTTTAAAGATTATTGTGCTGCAGCCACAGATGCAGTTGCTTAACAAGAGTGTTGTCTCTGGTTGTGCATATGTGTGTGTGTGTGTGTGTGTGGGAGATTTCTAGCTAAACAGTTGGGGCTTGGCATGTTTGCAATTCCATTTCATTGTCAGTGTCATACGACGCGTCGTTTGCTTGTTTTTCTGGCTTGTCATTGGCTTTGAATGCTGCCAGTTAATCTGTTCTGTAGTGGAAAGGCGCAGCTGGCTTTGGCTGAGCAGCCGCAATATTAAAAGTCATTTTGTATCTGGGCTGCCACTTGGCCAAATTAAGCAGCCGAGCCTGTTGAGCCTCTTGACTACCGCCTGTGGCTGCTGTGTGCTGCCTACAGCCACGCCCACAGCCACCTTGAGTGGCATTTTGTAATTCAGTTTTTGTTGCAACTTTCTTTTGTCTTTGGTCTTTGTTGTCGCCCACTTTGTGGCAAGCCGTTTCATTTGCTTCGTGCTTCACTCAGCTGGCAATACAATTTTTCAATTTCCACAAATGACAATCGTCAATTGACGTTGATAGTTTTTCCGGCAGGCAGGCAAGCAGCCAGGCAGGCTTAATAAAATCGTTTGACATCAAATGGCTGCACAAAGAGAGGACGCCCACAGTTGCTGGTGGTGGTGGTGGTGGTGCTGGCACCACGTAGGCTGCCACTAGCAACATCAATTGTCGATTAATGAGGCGTTGCACAGTGTCGCATAAATTAAACAACTTCACTTCTTTCACATGGCCCAAAAAAGCAACTAAAATATTTAATAACAGCTAGCTGCTGCTGCTGCCAGCTGCCTAAAGGGGCTAAAAGCGGGTTTTGTGTTTGTTTACTGTCTGCACAAACAAAACACGTAAGCACACACACACACACACATGAGCACACATAGAAGTATTCATGTGCAAGGCCTGTAACCTTTTGTGTTTTTAACTTGCTTAAAAGTAAATACGTTGTAAATGTAGAAGCATACTTGTTAACTTTTTAATAAAGGCTAAGAGGCGGCAAAGGCAGCAAAGGCTGTGACAAAAGTTTTGCATAAGAATTTTATTTAAAGATATGATTAAAGGAGAAATTAAAGCAGGATAAAATAGACATCCATGCATTTAAACCATTTAAAATTTTCATTCATACAGTAAAATATATAAAACAAAATATTTGTTAAATATTTATTTGCATATTTATTATAAACATTCTGCAATTTCCATGCAACAATTCAGAACTGTGTTTCCTTTTGTCTGCAACATATTTTGCCATTCAAAAATGAAAGCCAACTCTCAATGACTGCATAATTTTCGCATAATTTACTACAAATAATTGAAATATTAATATTAACTCCCAGTTCATGGCATGCATTAAATGAAATATCAAATTAGTAAAATGTTTAAACTGAAATCTGTACAACAAATCAAAATGTCTGCTGTAAAAAAAATATGGAATTAAATTTGATTGGAATACTGTTTTCAGTAATTAAATTACATTTAATGGTAAATCAACCAAATGGTAAAAAAAAGAGAGAAAAATAAAGTTAAATACTATCACTATCTCTTTCTCTCTGCGGCACGCCTTCTCTCTCGCTCAGTCTGCATAGTGGCGCCAAAGAGGGGGATAAACTCATGGAATTTCACTCTCAAATATTTATGGCCATCGAAAGTAACAATTTTAATGGATTTCGCCAACTTTTGAGACACTTGGCAACTATACATCGTATATGAAGTATATAGAATGTAGATATATATCTTTGTATATATCCCTTCGCTTAGCTTCCCCATTTAAGCAGCTCTCTCCTATTGAAATGCAATTTAATTTAATGTGTTTATGAAAATCGTAGCACTTGGCAACGGCAATTGAATTGCCATTGTCTGCTTAGGGGGTGTGGCAAATGTTGTCGACTCGTAAGTGCAAACAAAAAGCAGAGTAGAAGGAGGGCAAGACGACTATTGTGTGCCCTAACAAAAGGGAAAGATATAATGATAGATATAATTAAAAATTGTACATAGAAGTAGAAGAAGAAGAAGATTATTCAAGACTGGCTATAATATTTATATATAGATTATAACGAGTTTTGGTTTTGCAAATATTAGAATTTTTAGCTATCCAAAAAAAATCAATTCTTCAATAAGCTCCCATATAAAAGATATGTAGAATCCCATAGTCCTCTTTGGTAAAATGCTGCTCTACTTTGTGAGACCAAAGAAGACGCCTAGCCAATATAACCTCTTAAAGGGTATACAAAATGCCTCCTGGACTTTGATTTGTGGCCAGTCGAGTTACGAGTTACCAAATTCGTTGTGTGGCAGCAGTAACGCGACGACCCTTTAATAGCATGTGAATATTTATGGTCAAAGGGAAACACGCTGTCTAAGCTGATTTATGCTGGGTGGCTGTGTGGCTGTGTGCCTGCTGTTAGCCAAGGAAATGACAACTGAATGGCTTCATTAGCGCCAACAAACTTGGCCAAGTTAATGCAAAAGTTTATTGCACTTCGACTTTTGACTTTAACAATTTGGGCGGGCAACGCACTCCTGACGAAACTTGACAATAAAAACGAAAGCTGAGCAAACTCCAGTCAAGAGAAATGAAAATAAATTTTCATGCTTATGAAAATTTTGTGGCAAATACAAAAAAGCACGCGACACTCATAAATGATGTGGCAGGGCGTTGTGTGGCAGTTGCAACCAGTTGCGCCACTTGACCATTTGGGCAGCCAAATTAACAAATTGTCACGTAGTCAAGCAATATATAGAAATGTCTATAGATATTTCCCTCACTCTCACAAAGAGTGAGACTTTGTATAGGAATTTCGATATGTCTGTCTCTCTCTCTCACTCTCTCTTTATTTATTGACCAAAGGCATTGTCTGAAATTGATGGCGTGTCTTTGGCAGTGCTTTTTGGCTAGAGCTTAACTTCAATTGTTATTGTTATTGTTGCTGTTGTTGTTTGTGTAACCCTAGAATATGCAATTGTTTTATGCCCAGCCCTCACTCAATCAACTCAATTGCGGCTTAAGCGTGTCTGCCATACCGAAAGCGCTTTTGTTTAATGAGTCAAATTTGTGCTGCGTATCGCTTACTCTGCAACAGCCACCACTTCCACGTCCACGCCCATGTCCACGCCCCAAAACTCAAACGAGCCTGGCCAAAAATTAATGCAAACATTGATTAATCGAGTTTAGCTCGCGTTGATTTTATTGTTGGATGCGAATTTATGAGACAGACAAACATAGAGCAGGACTCTTGAAAGGATGCCCCCTTTTAGCCTAGCCTGGCCTAGAGCATAGAATTTGGGAACAGAGCAAGAGTCTCAGCACCTTGTGCAAATATTAATTTGCTGATTGTTTTGTTTATCGCATCACTTTTGACTGTTTTTGTTTGGTTAATTCGATTCAACGGGACTCTACTCTGCTGGCTCTCTGGTGATGAAAAGTTTTTGGCAAATATTTGCACAACATTTTATCGGTTCATCTGCATTGGCTTGAGCGGGTCTTATTAAAAGTGCATTAAACTTGTCCCGCAGCTGGAGGAGACACATAAACACGTAGTGCTTCAATTCCCATTGCTGCAATTGATTAGGACGTACGTGTCCTGCCGTCCTTGTGTGTGTGTGTGCGTGTGTGTTTTAACTCTTATTACTAAATAATGCAGCATGTCTGTGTCGTTATGCGGGTGGGTGAGAGTGTGTACAGGTGTGCGTGTGTGTGTGTGTTCGGTCACCTGGGCAAACGGCAATTACCTGTGTGGTATTGAAGCTTCCCAAACTTTGATTAGTGTCTGCTATAGCTTTTATATATATGGCTATATTTTGTGCATCCTTCAACACCTAGCGCATATACCCTGTAAATGTAATGTAGAGAATATTGATATTTTGTAATGATGTAGAGAAGTCTGATGAATGTATATATATATGTATGTAAATAGGGAATGTGTAATTGATTTAGTCATGTGACACCAGATAATTTGATTGCAGCTTCCGGCTTCATGATTAGTGGTATGAAAAATCGATAAATATCGATAGTTTGTTTTGGCTCTTAAGCATATCTATAGATTTTGATGAGCTACACATTCGAATCGTTTTTACTTTTTTTCTATAGACATTTTAAATCTTAAAATTCTTCACTTCATATTCCATATTATGTTAGAATCGATATATGTACATATGTAGCTTACTTTAGATGTACATTAATAATAAAATATCTAACTTGAAAAAAAAAAAATGTTTAAATCGAAATCATAGAACAATATAACGGATACAGTTGACACTGCCTAAATTGTCCTAAGCTTCACTGTAGCAATACAGCCCGTTCTCAGCTGCTTTACAGGGTATCTCTGATGCAGTTCACCTTGTGCATGCAGTCTTATTATTTTGGCATTCCTATTGACTTTGGCTGCTTGACGGCTTTATTAGAGCTGCGGCTCGCCATATTGATTATCGATTGGGGAATTGCCCTGACTCAGGTCTGCGCTAGCCATTGTATATATATATATGTGTGTTTCTGTATGTGTGCCTGCATGTATGCTTTCAATTTAGCCATCCTGTTAGCCATTTGGCTTAGCCAGCTAGACACACACGTCGCTAGCTGCTTGGCTGGCTGAATGGCTGGGCACGTTTGGATTTTATGGTTCATTTGTTGTTGCGCTTAGACGCCAACGTCCTGCTGCTGCACACACACACACACTCATCTGTATATATATATTTGTATAGTACGTAAACATATTGTGCTTATGCTTTGGCACCTTGGCATTATTATAGTTTTTCTCTTAGATACACATAAATTCCCGCTCAATATTTGATTATGTTTCTCCTGCTGCCCTCACCCCCTTATCATTCGAAGCTAAACTTTAAATTCAACGAACACCGACACATATGCTAAACGAATTTCGTTCTTTCTCTTTGTATTTGCAGATTGAGGACGAGGGCAATCATGGCAATGATGAGACACGCCTCTTCATACTCTCATCGCTGGCCCAGTCGCAGATGAGTCGCGTCGCCTGCATCTTGTGCGAGGAGCCGTTGCTTGTATTCGATCGCTATCCCCTGGTCGATGGCTCCTTCTTTCTAAGTCCCAAGCAGCATTCCAGCGGCTGCATTGAGGTAAGTCCATCTCTCTCTCTCACTCACTCTCTATCTGTTATTCCCTCTTTCTTTTACTCTTTTTCGACCCTAAATGCTCATCATTAATAACCATCAAATGTTGGCGCTGGGGCTACACCCACGCTCGGTCCGCTTTCACTCGCCCACGTGGCGCAGGCAGAACTTTCAGCTGCAATTAGTTGTTGCAAATTTGACAGCAGGCAGAAAAGAGTTATATATATATGTATAATGTGTCTCTACAATGGGTGAAATGTGAAATGCGCAACAGGAGAAGGGGGATGGGGGCTGTGTGCGGGCAGCTTGGCGCACCTAAGTCGCCTTTATAGCATTTGCAATTTATGACCCATTTCAGTCAGCATAATTACGGCAGCGCCTAATAAACTGCCAAGCGGGCACAGTGTGGCTGTTGCTGTTGCAGTTGCAGTGGCTGCAGCACAGACGCACACGAAGCAACCGAAGCGACGACCCACGTGCAACAGAATCGCAGCAAGAGCAAGAGTGAGAGCAAGAGCAAGAGCAACCTACGTAGCCAGCCTTTGGCTTTTTGTCATGCCTGGGCTGACATGGCTTCCCGCTTCCCTTGTTTGCGCTTTAATTTAAACCTGGATTTATAATTCATTGCCAGCTGGCCTGGTCTGGTCTGGCTGGGTCTTGTCTGGGCCCTGGCTCTGTGCAGTGTGCCTCGACTGCCTCGGCTGCCACTGTCGGAGGGCCAGCGTCTCGTGGGCGTTTGCTATGCATTTTGCATTTTATTTGAAATTATTATGTCGCGTCGCCAGTTGAAGCCCTTTTTTTTCCATGTAGAAAGTTGCAAAGAAATAATTTTTCATTGTTGCGCGAATGAATTATGCGACTGAACTAGAGCTCAATTTTTTTTTGTTTTTGTTTTTTTTATTCTCTTGCCAACCAACTAAGCTTATTCAATGTATTCTTGTTCTCCCATTCCAGGTTAAATACGAGGGACGCATGCTCTATTTGACCTGCGTCTGCATGAGCTGCCTGGATGGCACCTCCAGCTGTCGTGTCATCAGCTGCCGGTAAGTGTTCAGAGAGGATGCCTCAAGAAGGCTCCGGGCCGCCTGCCCGCCTAGATCTCTCAATGTAATTCAATCAATCCGATTATCTCTTGTAGATTCTGCAATGAACCCTGGGATGGCTCCAACCTGGTGCTCGGCACAATGTACGCCTACGATATCTTTGCGGCTATGCCATGCTGTGCTGAGCGTTTCAAGGTGAGTGAAATTTAAGCTTGTGTTGCGAGCATTTAATGTTAAAGCAATATAAAATTTACTGTAGCTAAAAGAGTTTTAAGAGCCAAAAGAAATTGAGCTAGAGATGATTTAATTGCACTTAATCAAGCTTGAATAATATATTAAAATAGCTTTGAGCTCAAAGCTAATGACTAAAGAGTTCAAGAGCTTGCAAAGTTCATTAAGAGCTTAAATATGAAATATTCTTCAATTATTTTATTGGTAGCCAAATAGCTTACAAAGTACATCAGAATTTTAAATCTTATTTTAAATTGTATATATATAAAGGCTTCATGGAATATAGGCAATATGCTTTGATCAGAAAGTTTTGATAACTATTCATTAATATGCAACTAAGCCCATATTAAAAGTCTCTAATAAATTATCCGATGTCAGTCAGCCTCATTCAATACTTAAAGCTCAACTTTAAAGCGTGTTCGTCCGCATGTCCTGTTCAACTCTAAAACGTCGCTCAGCCTAGACTAGTTTTACATAATCTAAATAATCTTTATTGCTCTATGCTCTTTCGTAAGCTTCTCATTTGCTTAGCTCCTTAACCACCTCTACAATTCCAGCTAATCTCTAAACAAATTTGTTCATTTTCATTTACGTTTACATTTCTGTTTCTATTTTTGTCGTGTTTTACTTGCAGTGCAATAATTGCTTCAAGATGCTAATGCATCCACAGCAGCGGCTGAGCTTCTACAGCGACTACTCGCACGGCGTCACTTGCCCCTATTGCAACACGCAGGACACTCACTTTGTTAAGCCGCTTAGCTACTGCTACACCAAGAGCAATGCGACGCGGCTGCAGGCGATCGCATAACATGAGGCCCCGTTGGAGACACCAACGGTTGCTGGCGCAAATGTAAATGCGAACGCAGTCACAGCCAGTGGCAATGGTGCTTCAACGGCCTCCAAGCAGCCGCTATATAATGCGGCCATCGACTACTCCGCCCCGCTGCAACAGCAGATTAATCCCGACTTAATTGGCGCCCATCCGCACGCCCAACAACATCAGCAGGTAAGGCAGCAACAGCAGCAGCAGCAACAGCAGCCACCACAGCAACAGCAGCAGCAGCAACAGCAATTAGCAACAGTTGCCCCCACAGCAGTGGCTGCCACACAACGTGCACCAGAAGCTGCCTATTTGGTAACAGCAGCAGCAGCAGCTGCTGCTCGTGCTGCCAACTACCAACAGCAACAACAGCAACAACAACAACAGCAGCAGCAGCAGCATCAACAACAACAACAACAGCAGCAGCAGCAGCACAAGTTAAGCTACTCAAATAGCCTAATGGCCATGGCGGATGTTATGAGCAAGTATCAGCAGCAGCAACAACAACAACAACAACAGCAACAGCAGCAGCAACAGCAACAGCCACTCAAGCAACTGGGCCACTTGAGCCTGGGACACGATGCCAACGGGCTTTTATTGAGCAACATAAACAACAGCAACGCCAACAACGGCAACAACAGCAACAACATTGGCGTTAGCAGCAGTATTAGTAACTTATTAATTAGCCATAATTCACAAAGCAACAACAGCAACGGCAACAGTGGCGTCAAATTGAGCGCCTGGTCGCAGCCGGCACCCGCCGCCCACATGGCGCAGGCAGAGGCCATATCCGCATTGTGGGGCTGCGCCAGCAATGCCTCGACCAGTGGCTCGACCAGCGGCTGCTCGTCGGGCAGCGGCTCACAGCCGTCGTTGAGTCCGACTAGCAGCCACAGCAAGGAGTTGCTCTGGGCACAAACCTCGCCCAGTTGCGCCCAGCTCAGGGATAATTTCTACACAGCCAAGGATCTAATGCTGCCGCATGCTGCCTCCCCCACAGCCTCGTTGACCAGCTCATCGGGCGCCTCCTCGAACGGCGGCAATGGCTGGGGCAATGGCAATGGGGCACACTATGCCAAGCTGAGTGCTGCGCAGAATATTTGGGAGCTGCCCACTGCTCAGGACATGTTTAGCGATCTCCTGTGCAATCTGCACATTAGCCAGGATGGCAGCAGCAGCAACAGCAACAGCAACAACAAGAGCAACAACAACAACATGAACAAGCTCAACGATGCTTCAGATGTGAGCTCGAATTCATCATCCGCAGCCGGCGAGCTGCTGGAGATGGCCAACATTTGGCGACACAGCAACACCATGCAACATGCCATGCCCCAGCAGCAACAGCAGCAGCAACAGCAGCAGCAGCAGCATCTCTTTGAGGAGCCGGCAAGTGGCGCTGCCTGCATGCAGCTCTTCAACGACTATCTAAACATGACCAACTAAAGCCGTAAATGTTACTCTAGCCAAATTTAACAGAGAATAGTAACAGTAACATTAACATTAACAGTAAATATTAACAGTAACATTACATACTAACAGAGCAACGGCAACAGAAACAACCAACAGGCAGGTAAAAGCAAATTTCCAACAACAACTTTTATAGCAATATATCCAAATAAAGAAAGCCAACTACTTTTGCCCCCTGCCAGCAAAACAGTTGCTGTAGTTTCTTTTTAAACTAATCTAACAAAAAAATGGCAAATCGATTTTACTAAAAATGCAAAAAACAAAAAACAAAACGTAACTAAAAACAAATTTCTTGTTACTTTTGTTGAGTTTAAACATTTTTAATACACACACACACATGCACACACAAATGAAGAAAACAAAATCTAAATGAAAGCAATTCTTAGTTTTATATTATAAAAAAAAATTTTATACAACAAAAAAAAATTACCAAAAAAAAAAAAAAACAAAAAAGGAAAGAAGAGGAAAACGATTCGCCTACTTTTGGCATGAAATTTTTTTCTATTATTTAGCGAGTATGGAGATTGATGTGAAAATGTATTGAAAGCAAAGCATTTAAGGTTCGTTGAAACAAGATGAAAATTTGCTGTGCTGCTCAATAAAAACATAAAATAAAACACACACACACCAACAAATATATAAAAAAAGCATATAAATTAAAAAATATATATAAAGAATGGAAACAACAAATTTTTGCTACAATTTATATATAATTACGAAAAAAAAAATTACACATAAATTTATAAACTAAATTAAGCGATAAGTTGCACATCTTTACCTAAACGATTGGTAATTATTTCTAGATTTTAGTCAGCGAATTGCAGTTGCAACCAACGAACTCCCCAGGCCAACCCCCACCCTTAATCTCACATCCACCCTCAAGCACTCCCCAACAAATTCAATAATTCCACAGTAATTCAGTTCGAACCGGCACATGCAATCCGAAAATAGTTCAGAGCCCCATCGAAAAAACCCCAAAATGGTATTTGAGGAGGAGAACCAGTTGCCCGCCCATCCTAAGATATAAGTTTTGTTTTTATTTATATAAAAGTAACAAACAAAAAAGAAAAAAAAAACAAAACAAATTTTCGGCGCAGCGTGATTATTAATTAATAAGTTTTAAATAAGCTAGGAATTCCTCCTTAAGAAATAAGAAAAATGAATTCAAAATTATCGTATTTAATATTTCGGCTAGGTTATCATTTTTGTACTATGTATGAATATGTTTAGGTCGGCCCCAATTTCTCTCCCCTGCCCCAACCTTTGCCCCTCTCCCCACTATATTTGTATGTTTATCATATTCGTGTATCTATGTATCTATCTGTAGTAATTGTTTAGCAGCAAGACAAATTAGTAGCAGAACAGCCGTTTGTGATGGATCTCTTGTGTGTTTTGTGTGCCTTGCACTCGCAAATCACAAATCGCTATCGATAGGGCTTTTTCTAGGTTTAAGCAAGTATTTTTTTCTAAATTTAACAACTTACGATATTACTATATATACATATACTTATATGGTATGCAAACATCCCAAACAATTTAAAGAGCGGTTCAATGTTTCCTGTTTTGTGTTTTAATTTTGTGCATAAATAAAAAAAAGTCACCAGAAATTCCCCTCCTCTACTAAACACCCCATCCAACAATCTAATAACTCATAAATTGTGTAAAATGTTTGAAGATTTCCAATCTGAACTTTTAATGAAATTAAAAGCAAAAACCAAATTTGATACTCGATCCCAACTGTGACAAAATAAAAATTAGAATAAAAAGATTTTGAATTGTGGTAAAGTTTCAAAAGATTTCAATCTTTACTTTTAATCGAATTAGAAGGAAAAACCAAATCTGATATTCAACTGTGAAAATCTTTCAAAAATCAACTCCGAATTGTGTGGAAATTTCAAAAGATTTAAATCTTTACTTTTAATCGAATTAGAAGGAAAAACCAAAATGATAATTCCAACTGTGACAGCGAATGATTCGGTCCAATCTAAACAGCAGAAACTGTGTTAAACGTTTAACTTTAATTAACCTTGATCGGTGTATTGTGTTGCGTTTATAACGTCACGATTCTAGCGGTCAAACTTATTTCTTTCCTTAAGTTTTCGTCAAACTATCTGTGAATTGCGACGCATCCAACGAATCATTTTGCTAGTGATTCCCAAAGTTGGTTCGCTTCGCACTTAACTTTTGCCTGTGACAAGAAATTTTATAAAAATTTAAAAAATCATCCCGACCCATCCCCTGTGTTAAACATTTTGTAAAAATGTCTAAAAAAAAAAAAAAAAAAAAAAAAAACAATTTACCACAATTGCCTGGATAAGATATTAAAACAGCCAAAACTGTGAACCAAATTCAAAATTTGCGATTTGTGAGTTGTTCGTTGCGAACAAATGACTTAGAGCTTAAAGAAGTCTTTCGAATTTACATTTAATTTTTTTTTTTTTTTCCACACTTTTTGTATATTTCCTTCTACTTCTCTCTTGGTTAAAGAAGATAATTATAAATAATCTTCTGTTTAATTTCATTTGCTGTTTTTTCATGCTCAGTCTTGTGATACAATTCATAAATTTATCTCTTTCTATCGCTACCCATTGTGTATAACTACGTAACGTGGAAAAAATTGAAAAAATAGCAACAAAAAAATTCTGTTTAAATTAACATTTTTATTTTTTCCGTTCTTTTCAGCCTTGTGATACAATTTTGTATATTTCATTCGGCCTCTCTCATATCTGTGTAAACTCTACGCAACGTAAAAAATTTTTGAAAAATTAAAAAAAAAACTTTTAGCAGTGTGATAAAATTCCGATTTTATAAAACCCAACAATAAACCCTGCCCTCCTCCCTATTTCCCTAAAATTTTGGTGACTTTTTTTTTTGGCTTGGTTTCACTCCAAATTACCTTAACAGCTCGATGGGACTCTGGATCTATAGGCTATAACTATTAGTTAACGGATTTTTGTGCATGTGCCGCGATTCCCAACACTGAAAATCCTGGCAGTTTTTTTTCGAATTTGCCGCCATTTATATATACCAAAAAACAAAATATTTTCATTCAAGCAGGACAATTAAAATGGGGGAAAAATAAACGAAGTGATAGTAAAAGAAATGTTTCGTTTGCATACTTAACTATATAGAATTATGCTTAAGTTTATAAGTATATAAAATATATATATACATATAGTATATATACCCTAACCTTAACAAAAAAAAAAAAAAAAAAACAGAACCCCAACAACAACACTTTTGGCATTTACTTGAGAGAATTATATATATGTATAGAGATATATATGAGTCTGGCAAACAAACGTATATAATTTTCGTCTAAATTTAAGATTTAACTCTATCTATGAATTCAAAATCATAAAATAATATATATATTTATAGGCAAACAACCCACATACACACACACATACAACTACACCTAATCTAATACAACATAATAAATCATTTTCTTTAGATATTTAATTGGCAAACGCACATACCCTCACACTCACTAAGAGTTTTATAGAATTTCCGAAATACACACATACCCTATATGCAAGGTCAAAGGCAGCAGCAGCACGCACCACCAACTATGATATAAGTCAGCCCGTGTTTATAACGTTTTTTGCTTAGTTTTTTTTATTTAGTTTTGAATTTTATTTTTGTTTTAGTTCAATGTGCAAAGTAAAAAAAGTGTTAAAACTAACTAAAAACTAAAAATAAAATAAGGAAAAAGAAAAAACTTATGCCCACCTCAGCCACCAAGAAAAACAAACCATTAATTAACGAAAATAAATAAAACATACGCAAATCCTTAACTTAACAAGAAATAAAGTAAATAGTAGTCACAACTTTCAATACACACGCATATAGCAATAAATAATTTAACATAAAAAACTAAATAACTAAAAAATGAATATTAATTAATTGAACACATTTAAATATAATTTATATTACCTCCTTAGCAAAAATCAATAACAAATCATAAATAATATAAAGAAATTGATAACACAAAAAAAAAAAAGAAGAGAACATTTTAAAATGAAGACAGTTTTTGTTTAGTCTTATTTAACTTTAAATATGAGATATTTAATTTTAAAATAAATTTTGAAATTTGTTTTATTTTTATGTTTGATTCAAATGAAAACCAAAATATTTGCACGCTGCCCAAAATTTTTGCATATTATATACATAGTAAACTATAATTATATGGCTTCTACGACATCTTCAATATATACATATATTCAAATTTCGTACCCCCACATAAAAATCATAGATATATCACCAAATTGCTTAAAACTTCAGCCAAAATTTCTTTAAAAAAAAACATACACACCAAATTTTTGATAGCTCCCCAAACGATCGATTTTTAGTGGACTTTCAAGTAGCATCCATGAGCTCTCTCAGATCATCTGATGACGAAATGTACAAATTGGTCGAAATTTTTGGCAATTTGTTGCAAGGGGGTGCCCAGTCTCTAATAAGAAACTGTATTTCAAAGCGTAGCAAATATTTGTTTTCGATTTGTTTTTTTTTTTTTTTTTAATTTTTTATTTTATCCTTTATTTAGATATTTACTTGTCCCTTCCCCTCACATATATTTATATATTCATTTGTAAATCAATTTTTATTATTTTTCGGTATATCTGTCTGCCCCCCACTCTCTAATTTCTAATCGTATACAAAATTTTTAGCACACTTTATATTTTGGTTTAAGCATTATTTGTTTAATGTGTAATATAATACTTTGTACCTTTTTCACTTATGTTAAAGAGAAGCAAGTCCCAGTGTGTTTGATACCCTGAAGGCGCGTGTGCGTTGTGTTTATTAATAGATGTTTTCTCAATTCGCAAGTCCATTTGTCAAACCTTTTTTGCTTAACATCGATGTCAATTTATATTTAGGTTTACCTAAACTTGTGTTTTTAAAACATTCAACAATTCACTGCGCACTGTTCAGGGTATTTTCTAGTCGAATATTCTCGGCTGGAGCACTTTCTAACTTGTTTTCATTTTGTGTTTCTTCATCAAGCCCACAAAAATATAAAAAAAATTTATATATAAAAACAACACAAAACAAAATCCCATCTTTGTCTACTTTTTAATGTAATTTAGTTGAATATTTTAGTTGATTTTTTATTATATTATTATTATATTATGACTATACATAATTGAAAACTAAATAAATTTAATTATACATCAATAAAATATATTCATATAAACAGCGAAAAACAAGAAAAATCACATAAACAATTACAACTACAAATAACTTTTTGCTATTATTATTATTATTATTACATTTAATAAATATACAATTTTTGTTGAATTTTAAAATGATTAAATGAAATATTTGTATTATTTAAAAAAAATTGTTTTTTTTTTATTTCTTACAATTTATTTATTATTGGTTTACTTTGGTTTGTATGATACAAGTTTTATTATTTTTTATTAAAGCAAGTATTTTTAAAATTAAAATAAATTTGCCGGACGACAAACTGCCGAGTTTTGCATACTTTTTAGATGTGAGTAAAAAGCCCTTAAGTGAGTATTGAAATCGGGTCCACTGTAGACTAGACAAATCCGATTCGTAACCTTTACCGTGAAATGTATTGTATAGCATTTAGTGGAAGGTGCTGAAGGCCAGGTCCTTTTGGCTTTTAACCTTAACTTAGCCTATCTAAGTTTTATGCTCGTTCAAGATGTGAGGAAGAGTTTATTACTTCCGTGCAATGTCCGGTTGTCTACTCGTTTGTGTCTGTTGACATATATGATATATATGTATATATGATATGAATATGAATTTATTCGAGGTTAGCATATAAGAAAAATTATTCCACAGATTTACAGTTTACATCTCCTTTTCATTAAGGAAATCAAATATCCACATTCAATCCAAACTTAAATCTCCGTTTCGTGAACGAGTATTACGTAGTCGGTTTAAATCGACTTTCATTTTTATGTGTTATTTCTTAATTTGTTTTTAAGTCCCCCAATTCCTTACTTAGATACAGATACAAATAGCAACTTGTATAACGTAGGAACATGTTAATCGCCGCATAAATACACAAATACACATACACACATATATACATATACATATAAAATAGCTTAGCAATTGCACTTGCGCCTCGGCGTGTGCGACGGTTTTTGTTTTTTGCTTTTGGTAAAGAGAATTTTTGCTTTTAGGTTTATTATTTAGCAAAACTTGCTTACTGAGTTACCTGTACATGTCCCCGCCTAGTGTGCTAATCCCCTTAACGCTTTCCCGACCCCGCCCCTAAATAAAAAAACAAAAACTGCACTAAATCAATTTCTTAGTTGAATTTTGTCATCTTTGTCTTTGTCAATGTTGTAGTCGAATTTTTGTTCACGTTTGTTCTCGTTATGTTACAAATTTCTTGCCAAAGTACAAAACAAACTAAATCAATTCCTTGTAATTCCTAAATGACAAAGTGTACGTACCCTTTGAGTTACCTGAGAAAGAGAGGGAGAGAGAGAAAGAGAAAGAGAGAGCAGGAGTGAGTAAACATTGATTATAGTAAAGGAAAGTCAGAGGAAAGCCAGCAGCGACTCGCTCGAGTTAAAAATCCTTATTTTGATTTTTAGTTCCATTTGATTTGTCACAATAATATTAGCTATGTAGGCAACAATACTTATTATTCGAATACTTTGTTAGCGCTTAAGTACATTTATATTGTGTGTAAATGTTTAAGAGATTCATTCAAGAAGAAGCATATGAACAATTATTTTAGAGCCCAGTTTTGTAGAGGCATCGAAAAGGTTTTGCTAGAAACGAATTTTCCTTTCAAATTTTTCTGCTCTATATATATTTAGATTCGGATTTAATTGGTATAAATATATGTGTATTTTTAGCATACTATATTATATTAGATACAGATCGTCTTTAAGCACTACATCATAAAAACCAAAAAGGAAAACCGATAGCTGGTCAGCATGGGTACAAGAACCGCTGGTGAAGTGGACCAACCAATCGGTTAAACATGCTAACTATGAAACTAACATAAACATAAACATAAATCATGATAAGTTCTTATATTTAACACACAAACACATACGCATACATACGCATTTGTATGCATGTATTTAGTATTAGGCTTTGATCCAGTAAAATAGAAAGCAAGCAAAAGTGTTGAGCAAGCAATACGAGCGAGGGCCCAACAAGGCCACAAATTCCCCCGGGAAGCGCCGTGGCCTGGTCTCGCCAACTAAAACAAAAAAATC